TCTATGAACTGTTTACATGACAACGTTTTCCATTTCTGGGTAAAAACATCTGCACCAAAAGCATGTTTTGTTCTTTGAAGAAAGGAAATAAAGCCACAATGTTATTTTGATCCTCCTCCAGCTGAAAGCATTTCTGACTCATGGATCAAATCAGCCTGTTCCTCAGCGGCTGTTTCAAGATACAATGGGAAATCATTAGCCAATCATGTCTGCTGGAAATTAGATTAAAATATTATGATCTGATCTTTGATCCCCTGGAATGTTAAAAGGGAAATAGAGGCTGTTTGGGAGATTTCGCAACATTGCAACCACATCTAAGGGAAAGTTTCCTTATTATGAAGATGTGAAAAATGCAGTGCGTGCACCTTTACAGATCTGTGGATTCATAGATTATTTAGTCCTGCACAAAGGTATCTTACCCCTTTTTTTTAGATAGATGTCCTTGTAGCTTGAACCAGGTTTGATTAGTTTTCCTCCTGCCTGTTTTGCCATGTTTACAGGCTGTTATCATGTCTATTTCTGCTGGGAAGCTTTTTAAAGGAGTTGTGTATGAGGTTTTTGGGGGCCTCTGCAGTGAGCCGAGTGGACACGTGAGGAAATTTTTGGCGCTTTCTTGTTGGCTTAATTTCTCAGGCCAAGAAGTTTCCACTTTGGTAGAACCAGCTGTACAAATGCTCATAGCCTGAATCTGATTTATCATTTTAAGTAAAGTCATGCTATCAACTTAAAAGGAATCAGATCACCTGCAGATCAGAAGTGACCCTTAACATAGGACTCCAGGGGTAGAAGTTTCAGTCATCAAAAATAATCATGTATAGGTATTTAAACTCCTTGATAATGCTCTCATTTGCTTTTTTAGTCATCCAGTTGCATTAATATTAATTTCATTCTGTATCATAACCAGTTAAAACTCCTTTAAACTGCTTTAAACTGTGGTACTCTCCACAGCTACATCCACTGTTCGTTCAGCTCTGATACTCTGAGCATGTGGTTCCCATCCCAGCGCCGACCTGCTCCTGGCTTTTCCACAGTGACAGTGAGTTTCTTTAATGGTGACGCTGTTTTGTTTTTCCTTCTCTGGGGACAGATAATGTGAAGCGCTCCCCCTCTGAGGGGAGTGGGCCAGGAGAGGCTCTGTAAACATGAGGGAATGAAGATTAATCACACACCAGAGATGGTGTTCCCACTTTAATAATCAGTATTGATTACTGTCACCTTACATCTGCACCAACAGCTGCTGCGAGGGGGGCCCATCGCCCAAGGCTGGTCTGCCTTAGACTTCCACTGTTAAATCATTCTGCTCTGTGTTAGCATGAAATACACACCAAGAACTATTCTTAATGATTATCAAACAATAAAACTCTCCAAGCTCACTTTAGCTTCACTGCTGCACCAGGTAGACCCACCTGGACCTGTTCATCATAAAGGACCAGGTTTAATCCCCCACTCTCTTTATTTCAAATATATTGGATTAAGTATTTTCCTTTGCAGAGAAATGAGACTAACTTTCCTGAGACTGAAACCATATCAGGCTTATCAGCTTTACTCACTGCCTTCTGCAAACGTCTGTGTATCATTTTAATACACAGTCACAGTCAGACAGAAATGACACATTCTCCTTTCATAAAACATGAACATCTCGAGCAGATTAGAAGAGAAATGGAGCTGTAGTTCAGTTTGAAGTAATTAAGGCTTGCAGTAAACTTTCAGATGTTTAATTCAGGCTTATCAAAGCTGACTCAGATTAGTCTCTTAATCGCAGAAACAAAGCACAGGAGCAGGAAGGATTTCCCCTGACAGCCTCAAATATTAAATATTAATTTTAGGCGGTCTGTTTGTGTTTTGGGGGCTAAGACAACAACAGTACACATCTTCTGAAGGTTCTGAGGGTGTGTGATCATTTTTCAAGCTGCTTGATGTAATCCCCTGTGCTAGGCTCTGTGATGGCTCACAGTCAGGCTTCATCACTATTTTCTCTCTCTCTCTCTCTCTCTCTCTCTCTCTCTCTCTCTCTCTCTCTCTCTCTCTCTCTCTCTCTCGTGTTTTATTTTGGTGAACCTCTGGTGAACCTCTGTTGAAGAGTTTGTGTTAAGTGTTGCAACAGCGTTCAGCTCTGTTTTCACTGTTTCACTACCTGACTCTGTTTTGGGATGGATGGTTTTCCTGCAGCAGCAGTGTCAGTTTTAATACCAGGGTGTAGAGCTCCAAAACCAAGTGTTTACTGTCATACCTCAAACTTTACCCACATGCACATCAAAGTTATGTCCTTTAAACTTGGTTTTAAATTTGCTTTTGTTCACACTTGAAGCTGTAAGACAAACATTTCAGTCATTAGGAAATTTTGCTTGGAAATCATGGTCCATTTCTACCATTTAGTTGTGTTCCCATTGTCAAAAGTTGTGGAAAGAATCCAAATAACCATCTGTTTCTTTCTGATTTTTTTGGCGCCCTTCTCTCTGGGTACCAAACAAACTGATCTGACTGTACCCTGGTAGATAAAAAGGAGGGGAAAGAAAAGAAAAGAAAGTACTGGACTATAAGCCATATACTTATATTGGGAAATGCTTTTTAGAACAGGCTCTTCATTCACACTTAGTCATCAGCTGAGCAAAGAGGGAGCGTATGTTCATGCCATGATTTTAAAAAGTGGTTAAGGGGGTTTGGGATGGGAGCTAGGGACTGCTGAAGAGGTTTTAGATCAGTTCTTTGCTGACGGTGTGAGGGGAAGATGGAGCTAAAGTGTCTGAGCGGATCCACCCAATATTACATGTCTGCAGAGCTAGAGACCCCAGCAGATCCACAACCATGACAGCTGGACAGAACAGGTCATTGCATGACAGATCCACAACCCTCTTTTTAACCACTGTTCCACATCCCTTTGTGTGCCCAGAAATTAATTTGATAAACAAGTTAATAAATAAATAAGTGACCGCAGTCACAAATTATTATCAAATCAAAGTAAAATATCCTTGAAATTTGTGAAGTGTTCAGTTCTTGGGACTCGGCCCACCTCCTTTCAAGGATTTGAAATTTATTTTAAAAATAAAAAGGTGCCTACAGTCACATATTTAGATATTAATCTAGATTTAATTAATTTTACATTTTTTAATAATCATCCTTTTATGCACTGTCTGCCTACCTACAATATTGTGGGTCTATTCTACCAAAATATCAACTTATATTATCCCAGTATCATAGAGATTAGCCTTGCTTTTATACTGTTCATTCCTTGGCGATGATTTTGACCCCTGAATGCAATAGTATATGTCTGCAGAACCGGATGAATGTAATGTTCTGTGTGTGTTTTTCTTGTATATTTTTACGTGCAATCCCATGCCCATGATTAGTCATCGCACTTCTGTTTCATTCACTACAATGCTAGTAGCCTACGGGTCAAATAGTACATTTCCGACTTCTGAAAAGCTAATGTTAGCTTTAGCTTGACTGAAATTCGATGTGCATGTCTGACTATCACGGAAAATGGATAGGGAAAATGTCATAAATGGAGCCTGCCACATAGACATTTATTTATCCTTCAAATTCAAGACAACATTTTTATCAATGACCTAAAATTGTGTGATTCACATTCAATACTTGATCATGATGTCGCTCCATTTTTTTTGGAGAAAGAAGCAGGAAGAAGGGGCGGTCAAGTGTTTCAGTGTGTGGATATGTCATGCAATGACCAACTCCGTCTAGCAGGGACACAAAGAAGGTTGTGGATCTGCTGGGCTCTCCAGCTCTGCAGACACCCCCTACTCGATCCACCAGCTAAAGCCCCTTGACTCTCAGGGGGGACTTGCCAGTCGGACTGGACTACTTTAAGGTGTGTTTATGAGATATCCAGAGGAGGAAGCTCAGCTCCTCACAATTTCCCATTTTTTTTAGATTTTTGGTTCTGATATCGACTACCCTGATGCTATGATATGATATCTATCAATTTTTCCAACATTTTCCCTGTAAAGTCAGTCAATGAGAATGCATGTTCAGCATTTTAAAACAGAGAACAGTCACTGCTTTGGAAGTTAACTTGCAGCAAGATAACTTTCATAACTTAGTAGCTGTTAGAAGTGCTCTGGAGATGAGGTTGTACTTGGCAAAGATTACTGTTCACAGGGTGCTGCTTTGGCTCCATGCAGGGACTACACCCTTCACACTCCTTGTCACCCCCCTCTTACCCCTTCATTTCCTGTCTCTCTCAAATAGTTCCACCAAACAAAAGGGGACTAAAGCCTCAAAATAACCCTGAAAAGATGTTTTTAGTGGACACAGACCCAGATGTCATGCCCTGTGTGTCTGTAGTAAGAGGACAGTTGTGTAGTTCGGCACCCGAAGACTCTTTTCCTGCACAAGGGTGAGCTTTTCCGTCCTGAAGCCCCATGAAAAAGACTCTCAGTTTTCAATTGAACCTTTTAAAAGTTTCAGCTTGTCGAATGAGGGTCCTGTCTGCTCCGACATGCTGAGAACTGACAATAAAGTCTATCATCTCAGGGACGCAGGATGTGTTCAGTGTGTTTCTTTGAAATAGCAATGCACTTTTGCTCTGAATCTTTTGCACACCTTCAATCTTGGATGCACATAAAATCCCTCATTCACTTTAACAGTCTCCACTCTTTGTACTTTGTGTTATCGATTAGGAGCTTGGCAGTGTTCTCTCCTCCTGCAGATGTTGGAAAGCAAACAAAAGACTCTTCATCCAGCCTCCCTCCGTGCTTGTTGGTACTAATTCCTCCTCCTGCACGTTTTTTTTATTTATTTATTTATTTATTTATTTTATTATTATTTTTTTCCCCTCTGAATAAATAAAACTCATGGGTCAGAAAGAAAGTTCGAGTTTCTTTGAAGACAGGCAAACAAATCAGATATGTATAAAGTCCAATCACTGCTTAAGGATTTACCATAACAGGCTCTGATCATGTTCTCCATGGACACAGGGACAGCCAGTCAAGAGGGTGGAGGAGAAATAAATAAATAGAAACAACCTCAATAATACCTGACCTTTAACCTGAGGCTGAGGCGTGTTGCACAGACAGAAGGCTTGTGGGTAATGAGAAAAGAACAGCAGTGGGGTTTCTCTGAATGAAAACACGCAGCGTTGTGACCCCAGGACGGCCTTTCCCCATTTCCAGAGCTCGGGGCAGGAAGGCTCGTAGATTGAGAGCCAGGAGGGACCGTTTGATTGGCACCTTCTCCATGTCGATCTGAACATGAACACGGAAACTGATGTGGAATAAACCTGCTGAGAGCAGCAGAGATAAAGCTCAACACGGGAACTGCAAATGGAAACAGGTTACATTGTAGATAAGAGAAATTAGGCTGTAGGTGAGAAAAAGAACATCGATTGGAAATGTATCAGCTGAAATTAACAAGTGAACTCAATGATTGCTACAGAGATCGCTGCACTTGGCAACAGGGAGTGTTGCGCTTTGTCTGGCACTTATTGTGCTGGAATAATTACACAATCATGTTGTCATCCATAAGTACAAGCCCGCACGCTCAGCCAGGGTCCATTAAAACTATTCAAAGAGCTACACCTCTCAGATAATTATGTGGCAAAACAACAGATCAATAAAAGCATTTGTTTGGAATGGCTTTTAAAGTGGGTTCATTCATGCATTTTTGTAAACACCGGGGGATGCAGAGAAAAGTGTAAGACGTGCCGATTGTTGCTGCGTGTGGACAGTTATGATGATGATGATGATGTAGTCCACATTCACTCAACATGTACTTACTAAGCATGTGAGGGTTCACACATACTTACAGGAATAACAGATGAATCCACTGGAGGCTAATTTGTAGACCTGAGGCAAAGATGTGGAGCTAAACGTAAATTGTTACAGCCTAAGGAAATGTCACCTGATGTGATAACGTAACGACAGCTCATGTACGTAAATGTCATCCTGTATATGCTGCAGCCAGATATGTTCTGCAGGAATCCATTTCAGTTTGATGGAGGAACTAAACAGGGAAGTTGCACCAAACTTTGCTATTTGTGGATTATTTAGCAGTTTGCAAACAATGCTGTCTTTGTTGTTATGGAAACGTCTTAGTCCCTCTGTAGGATAAAATGAAGGATACAGCTCTGGGGTGAAAATAAGTGTGTGAATTTCTGCTATGTTGCACATCTGTCTAAATTTTTTCCAGTCTTCCTCAGATATTTATTTATTGAATTTCTCTTCAGTTATCAATAATGGTCTTCTTATCTTACATTCATTTGTGTTACATTTCACACTGTTCAGACTTTCCTTTATTTAGACACAGGGGACCATTTCTTTGCAAAACTCAATCTACACCTTTGCATTGGTGTCTTTGTTATCATCATGCAAACCAAATTTGAAGGTCACTTGTTCAACAAAGTCTTGTGATACTTTGGGGATTTAACTGTAAAGCATTTTCTTGAACACACATGGATATGTAACTGTTCCCCTTTTTAACCCCCTCCATGTGTTAGGGTCTGCACCGACCCGTTTTTGTGTTTAAATGCTTAAAAGAACCACTTTAACTAGCTTTTTTTCATCAAGACTGGTTGACTTTGTCGAGAACCTCTATTTTAACAAAATGAAAATAAAAAAAAATAAATTGACTAAATTATTAAATGCTTATTGAAGTTATGGCAACAGCTAGGGTCGCTGTTGACCTGGTTAGATTTAAAAAATAATCATAAGTGCACTGTCAGGCACCACACTGACAGTCAGATCCTCTTCCAATCATGTGAGATTTAGGATATTCTCATTTGTGCCTTACATTTCGGGAAATGAAGCCAGCATTTTAGTGTTAATAAATGCTAAATCTGGAGTTTCTTTCTCATCTTTTAAAATGTCTGAGGTTTTAAAAAGATCTCCAAGCATGTTCCAGGATTTAAACATGCACAGATAACTGCCTCTGATAAATAAGAGTGAATCAGCTGTACTACTCTAACTAATGGCTCTTTTTCTATATTTAGCACTGAAGGAAACAATAATGATGGGCTACATGCGAGACATATGAACAAGCCTGTTATTATTCATATCAGAGATATCTCAGATTTTAGGTCAACACTAGCTGGTCTGCTCACGTCTGGAGGTGTGAAATGTTAGATGATTGCTGTCAGAGTCAGGCCATGAGAGGAGAGAAGAAGTAGGAGGAATGAGAATGTAATTGTGTGTCATTTCCCTCTGCTTATCTCTGTTCATAATCGTGTCCATGTGTGGACATATGGAGCTCCTCCAGTGTCACGGACGTCTATCTGCATGTCTAATGGAGTTTCTGCTCAATGAAAAATGCCGCGGCTGATTCAGGTGTGAGGGGGTGAAATATAAGTCCTTGTACTCAGAGTTTTCTGTGTGTAGGAAAGAGCTCAATGAAGTTCATTGTTCACATGTTGAGTGACCCTCCTCTGCTGTGTCTGACTCTGAAGAACAACTCTTTATTGCAACAGGCATCTCCTTTGGTCTTCCATGAGTTCTTTAGACCCCCTACAGCCTACCACGTCAAAAGTGTAGACATGTATTTTGGTACCAGGTCTGCACTTTGGACTATTCGTCCAAGTAGGTTAGTAAACGTTCAGTCCAGAGTTAACATGAAAATGTTTGAGCATTTCATGGTTGTCACAACACCAGCCATGGATGCAATTTCTGCTAAATCCTGACAGGATCATGAGCGTTTAGAAACAACCAGTTTTTCAGTTGCAAGAGTGAATGTAAATGGGGGTCTTTAAGCCAAATGAATCGGCAGCTGGGCTTACAGCCTGGCCCTCGTAACAGCTAACTTTGTTTTTTTTTTATTATGCTGACACACTCACTGGCTCTGTATTTAATACAAAATTAAAAGCAGTTTTGTAAGTGTTACTCTTGTGGTACAAGTTGGGACTCATATATCCCATCTTTTTGTTTTGGTCTTTGTAAACATCATGAGGACTATGGTCTCGACCAGTTTTTTTGTTCACTATCTTAAGATAACATCTGATGTGAATTGGCGTTGAGTAAATAAAGACTGGTTGATCTTTGTTACCCAAAAACCTCAGGCAGCTCATATTCTGCCATAAACAAGACATTACAAGTGATCCCCAAAGGAAAATTTATTAGTCTGGAATCTCATCTAAAAATTGTGAAGTCTGTTGGCTGTGGGTACAAAACGACCTTCTAAATTGTTCTGTCCTATAGTGAAGTGAGAGGAGCTGCATAACACCGTTGAATTTTTTGGTCCATCAAGGTGTTATGAAGTGGGTGGTCCATGTTCTTTAGATTAGCCTTCACCTTCCTCAGTGTAAATCTCTCCACCACATCCTCCAGTGAATCCAACTTGATTCCAACCACAGAGCCAGTTTTTTTTTTTTTTTTTCCCCCCCAGTTTGTCATCATGTTGAGTCTGTATCCTAGCAATTGTTTAATAGAGAACATCACATGGAATTTAAGCTGTTGTGGTATGCTTTCTCTGTCCTCACCAATATCTCCAGCTCACCGCTTTTGTTGGGCGGAGAGTTGATGTTTCTTATGATGGCTGGTGGAAGAAAGGGTTTATATCTCCATTTCCTAGCCTTCAACTTTACTTTCACCTCCACACCTATAGAATTAGATGTTTTTGTCCAGATTTGCTCCATCTCAATAAAAGAAGTTATTCTCTTGAATAAACTAATTTCCCAGCAGAAATATCCATCAGTCAATCCTTGATCAGGAATAATTTTCTGTTACACCTTAGAAGAAATATCCTCTGCCTCATTGTGCAACACTCACCTCTGCATTCTCCTCCTTGCTTGGTTGGAAACATCTTAGCATGATTCTGGGTTACAGCCCTGAGGGAAATGAGATTGGATTTGTGCTTGTAAGAGGGCACTAAGGGTGTGAGAGGTCACCCCAGGAGAGCAGCACTGAGCAGGTACACCCAACAGCACATTTTCCCCAAGCTAGGGGGCAGGACTCATCATGGGGTTGCATGTAACTCAAATGGGGTCACTGATCAATATAATGAAAAATGTATTGTCATAATGATATTGATAATAACACCTCATGCATTATGAATAAGGTGCATATTATGTTTTCATGTCCCTGGTAAAAATGAATACAAATAAAATGCAAAATATTTTTCTGTGATAATATAACTACAACAGATCCTAGCATGAGGCACCGCCTTAGGGAGTGAATTTCCCACACACCACACACAATGGCCACTGAACAATGTTTTAAATCACTCAAATGAAGTTTGCATGCAGCAATCTCACAGTGAGCTTTAAAACGTTTGGTTATTTTTAAGCATACTAGTGTGTGAAGTCTTGAGGTTATGTCAGAGATGAGATGAGCTCCGCAGACTGTACCACTTAATATTGAGAGGCTTCAGTGAGGTGTGTAAGCTCAGCTGTCCCATCAAATATATTGTTTTGAAGAGACTATGATAATGGGGGAAAGACGCAACAAACTCTAAAGCAAAGCTTTTCACTTACACCCTCGTGAGGAAACCTCCTCAGCACTGGTGCTGCTGCCAATCTTTAAATCACAAATAAGATTTCGATTTGTTTGAGTTTATTGTTGGATGTAGATCTTGCTGAGGTCCTTGCAATTGTCCTTTAGGGTATTATATGTGAAATATTATTTGCAGAACAATGTAAAAACTACTTCTTAAGCTTGATCAAATTAAGCAAACAGTTGGGTCAAAAGCCAGATAAGGTTGCCCTGCAGTGTTTCATCCCTTAATTAAGCAAGACAATGCATTAAAGAGGCATGATTACAAAAGTGCATATACGTATCAATGCTGCAGTTTGGACCTTTGGGAATATGGTCACGGTAAACTTGGGGTCCAACGTTCGTTGACATAGTCAAGATATTTTGACTAGGCTTTTCTCAGCTGTTTAAAATCAAGCTCTCCAAATACAGGTGAGAATAACTGTTTGCCTCCATTTTTGCAGAGAAGCATGTTTTCATAACTAACTGTACTGAAGCTATGGCAACAGTTGAAATGAAGCAGAAATATCCTGTAATTGAATAGGAGTGCTCTATTACTGTTCTTAGATTGGGGTGGATCATAATCATGGCCGTAGGCTGACACATTAAAGAGACAGTCAGTGCTGATGAGATACTTACATAAATTAAATATGAGTCTTACCTTTATGGCTATGATTATTTCAGTAATTATGGGACTAACATCAGCATGATAAAAAGTTCCTCTGTCCTCTGCAGCCACTTTAAGAACAAGCTAATGGCCAATACCTTTTAAACCAGATGAG